ATATTCTGAGGAAAACCCACGGAATCAGGTAGGGACTGAAATCCAATCCACATATTTTATTTTATTTTATTTCTTTCTGGTAATGAAACCAAGGGTCCCTCAAAAGTGCCTTAAGCACTGTAGCCCGGAAGCCTGAAGAAACCTGTAGAGAGAAGACAATGAGAAGAAATTACAGTTTTAGAGGTGGGAGGAAAAGCCCAGAGGAATATTCTGAGGAAAACCCACGGAATCAGGTAGGGACTGAAATCCAATCCACATATTGGCCCGGGCGGGATTCGAACCCGGGTCACACCGGTGGAAGGCGAGGAAAGTACCGCTACGCCAACCTGCGTACAGCGGTCACCAGTGATCAATTACAGTGGCATAGCACTGTCATTTTTATAGGGGGTAAAAAAAATTTGAAAAGGGCACTTGCACATTTGTGGTGAAATGTAGACAGGTTTTTTTTGCCGGACACTTGGCCTCTGTAAAATCAAAAAGCAGGGGGGGGGGGGGGGGGCTGTACCATCTGTCGATGGGGCGCTGTTCAAAACCGATGATTATGCACACAAACGGCCATTATATGGTGCTTTTCAGGCGATACATGTGCGAAATTCAATAAAAGGCACCCAAAACGGCAGATGCCACACAAAAGGGCACCTCTTCTTTTTCAAAAAGGGCACTTCTAACCAAAAAAAAGGGCACTTCTAAAAAAAAAGGGGGAACTTCTAAAAAAAAAAGGACACTCTTTACAAGTTATTGGGGGGTAAGCCTGTTGAAAAAAGGCCACTTGAATGGAAAAAGGCAGTCTTTACAAAATATTGGGGGGTAAATACCCCCCCCCTCCCCCGGCTACGCCTATGAATCACCAATGCACAAAATGTTGTTTCTTTTACGTCCGTTTCATTCAAAATGACAGCATGCCAGAAAGAATAACGACAGGGAGTTTAGTTCCCTTACTATCTTTCATTCAAGTATATGTCTTTCAACAATTATTATTACGTCGGTTACTTTTTGGATAGCTGCAAATGATGGAGGAATGAGAAAATAATTGCATGAGATAAATAAAAGAAATAGCGCCCTCTATTTGCATAGTAAGAAAAAAACCTTTTTACACGAAATGCGCAGGCGCTGCCTTCAGCCTACGGACTGAGCAGTAAAGTAAATTGGGCGCTGCCCAGGTTTTTTTTAGGTATCGACTTATGAACTTGACCAACAAAAAGGGGAGGACACTCAAACAAAATGCGAAAGGCAACATAGGAAATCCAGAGGGCCTCCAGACAATGTAGATTTAAAAAAAAAAAATACTTATTACGAAAATTGAATAGAGTCTGTTAAAAAGAAATACCCGGTAATAACACGTGAAATAGGGCGTGGCTCGACATTCATGCATATAACAGGTTTATAAAAATGGCTAATCAGAGTATATATCAGTACAGTCAAATGGTGCTAGGGGTGGAGTTAAAAGGCACAAACGTGCATGAACCCAAGGAAATATATAAAGCCAAACTAAAATGGAGGAGGGAAAACAAATTTAGCAGAGACTTATCTTCACAGACGAAGAAAACCAAGGACCCCATGTTGAGCTCCTCCGACCCGCTGCCAGTTGGATATAGCAAAATGACCGCCCCTAAACCTAGCGCTCCTGACTATTATACCCAATATCCACTCTGCCTGACCGGTTCCCAATAGGAACTATGTAAAAACTATGTGACAACAAAAGCATATATAGCGCCAGTACGCAACTGTTAAACAAAAGACTACCAATTCCAGTGGCTGCATGGAGGACTGAGTCAACTGAAGGCTTTATGCAAAGTGCGTGTATGTCTCTCCCAGAGTGGGGCGTGTAGTCATACAATAGTTGCGATATTCTAATTTGTGGGACACTTCGATCGGCTCGGTCAATTATCAGCACCCTAGATTCCAACTGGTCTTAAACAGAGTGTTTAAAACCGGTCAAGCACACATTTTATTCCCTTAGTGAAGATTGATTATCTGAATGAAGTATATAAGTTAACAAACGTTTCTTTCGTGTGAATGTAGTTTTTTGTAAATCAATATTTGTTCATACTGAATTGATGAGTTTTTTAATAGCCAATACAAATTCATAACTGTGGTTTTTTCCCCCTAGTTTCTAGGGACTGACAAGGAGTAAGACCTGAGTCCTCTCTTTTTTAAACTTCTTATTTATTTTCTCATATTTGTTTTACTTTTTATGGGGGGTCGAGGGATAAGAAATCCAAATCCAAATATATTGACGAGGTGCAAGACCTTAGTCCTCACATTTTAAATTTGTTGTATTAATTTATTTACTTTGAATACTTTTTTATCAAATCGTACCCCAATTTGGAAGAGGGAAAATAAACTTAGCTCTGAGATCAAGAGCGCGCGCGCGCCCCCAATGGTACGTGTTTTTACGTTCATAAATTCTGTAACGTTGGACCTAGTCACCGTTTAGCAATAAAAGGAATACAAAAAAAAAATTAAAAAGTGCAACCTTATTAAGAATAGAATAACTCGACGCCTTCTAAGCCCAGGGGACATTTGAGTTCTGCGGTAACGATTGGCCAAAAATCTAGACTGGCGCCCTCTGTCACGTACATCAAGGACAGTGATCCCACGTAATCAAGGGGAATACAGTGGCTGTTTTTAGCTGGGTTTATTGGTAAGTTGCCTTTTCTTTGTAGGAGTAATAATAACTTCAATAATATTTCACATTCTGTAACCTCATCTTAAAGCTGTATTCAATAAGGCTGTAATTCAACACTACCCTATGATATCCATTTAACATATTAACTAGTGTTGTTATATAAATAAAAGGACCATGAAAACATCAAACAATATCCCCTTCCTGAATTTAATTCGAATACGTAAATGAATTGAAATTACAGAATGACAAATAGCCGATCCTCTAACCCCAATTAATATTTGAAATTGATACAACCATACCATAAATAAAAAATTGTTAATACAAAAATAAAGTATATTAAATTTAGAAATACAAAAATATATATTTTCATTAAATGAAGCCTCCACTATGACATAAAACGCCGCTTAAACAATAGGTTACATAATACAATCGGTTTTCTTTTATTTTATACATCTGACATAACATGAAACTATGATCCTGTTAACTTCCGAATGAAAATTATGGCCTGCTTCAGGTAAGCCATGAATGAAACATGATGGTGTTAATTTATTGATTGATTTTGACCAGGGAAGACCCATCGGATGTCTAGGAACTGTTCTCCCTTAGAGACCTCGGTGTCATTCATGTCACTAATGACATTGCTCCGAGTATTCAAATAAATTGTACACAAAAGTTTACAAAATGTCTATTGATAAAATACAGTAGATGGGTATTGAAAACTCTGTGACATGCAGCTGAAATACTGTGTAAATGCTTGTGCGAACTGTTCTAAATGTTCAAGATTTGCCTGGAACATTACTTTCAAGATGCAAAAGTATAGATGGCTTCATATTGATACACTCTTTTCGTTAAAACAGCACAGGATGAGTCAAAACAAGGAAACCCAAATAGCAGGACCATTTTTTGTAATGAATCTCTGCATGTAGCGCTTTCAAAATCTAGGATATGAAAAGCCCAGTTAATAAGATTTCTTTTAGTACAATAATCATTAATCCAATTAATAAGATTTATTTTAATACAAAAATCATTCACATCACTTATGTACTTTTCAAATTAAAGAATTTTGAACACAAACACCGTTTTAAAGTTCTGTCCACGGATCACAAAAAAAGGTAAGTGTTCTTTCAGCAAAACGAAAACAATTCACATACATTCCTATGTGAATTGTGCTAAAAGAAAGCTTATTACTTGGGCTTTCATATCCTTTTTTTACTCACCCTGTACATTTTTTTCCCTTCCCCCAAACAATACGGCCGAAAAGCAGTTCTGCTTCCGATTACATGGCATTTGAATATATGGTCAGTAGTAGGGATTTTTTTGTGCGTTGATCATGTGTACCGGTGTCTGCGTGTAGTCAAGGGTAAAAGGTAGTAATTGATGGTTTGGGGTTTTCCCCTATTTTTCCCAAAAACAATTAGGGTAGGGGCTGTCAAAATAGGGTAGGCATAGGGTAACCGAAAGCAGAACTAGTATTTTTTTTGCCTAATGGGAATATAATACGAAATATATTACACTATATAACATATATTGTTCATTTAACTCCAAGGCATTCCCCTTGCAAGCTTCAGCTTTTTGCGTTTATGCCTCCAACTATTGTTGTTGTTTTTTTGTAATTATTACAGTGTTTGTATGATTTGGAAATAAATGTTGGATTGAATTGAATTGAATTGAATGGTAATCAATGTAAACACCATATAAATATAATATGTTAAAAACATCCTTTACCAGCATATCAAAATGAAAGACATTAATTTTGTTTGATTACACAAAACGACCTCGAAACCCTTTTATGGATTAAATACACCAATGAGTAAACAAAGCAATAAAAAAGCTGCTTGACCAATCAATTAACAAATCCATTCAAAACACTGTAGAATTTCAACAAGTTAATAGTGGCAAATCAGCGATACATGTATCGTGTCTGAGGTGGGGCCGTACCTCAGAACTTATATACAGGGTGAGTAAAAAAACCGAAACCCAAATGTCGGGACTTTTGTTTCAGTAAAGTTCTGCATGTAGCACTTACAAAATCTAGGATATGAAAGCCCAATTCACAAGCTTTCTTTTAGTATAAGAATCATTCATATCACTCATGTACATTTCAAGTTACAGAATTTTAAACACAACCACCGTTTTAAAGTTCTGTCCACGGATCACAAAAATGGTGCGCGTTCTTTCAGCAAAGTGAAAACAATTCACACATTGATTTGTTTTCGTTTTGTTGAAAGAACACTTACCTTCATGTGATCCGTGGACAGAACTTAAAACGGTGGTTGTATTCAAAATACAACCAAATTACATGAGTGATTTTAATGATACTTGTTCTAAAAGAAAGCTTATGAATTGGGCTTTCACATCCTAGATTTGGAAAGTGCTACATGCAGAACTTCACTAAAGCAAGTTGGACATTTGGGTTTCGGGTTTTTTTACTCACCCTGTATTGAATACAAATCTGTTTATCTCTTTATCTAATGATATTGGTGAACAGTTGAAGACGACCACAAATAGTACTGAATGTTCAGTGTTTTATTTCGCATCAGTAAATGCCTCCTTCTGGTATAGGGATGAGTGTATGAAATTTAAATCACGAAAGAAGGGTTAAATAAAAAACACTTTACCAGATCCAAAATAAGTTTCAACAGAGATAAATGTTGAAGTGAGAGGTTAGTTTCAAAAAACGGCCGTTTGCTGTGTCTTTTTCCTACAGAAAACACCTCAAATCAAGAATAAGGGAGAGGGACACGGAATCAGATTGGGTGAATGCAAACAGGGTGAACCGGAAAAAGTAGTGCCGGCAGATATCTTTACTTCTCTCAAAAAGTACCTAACATGAGTATTTCACTTTGATGGAGCACATTAATTTTACTCTTGTGTATAATCAGTGAAAATGTCATGGACACCCATTAATGCATACCAGAGCTGTACTAGAACATATTATAAAAGGATATGTGTGTTTTCAACCATTTCAATGGGAATTAGACATTGAATTGGAAATGGCTCAACTGGTACTCAGCAATGGGTCTTTTCATTACCTGTGCAAATCGCATTGGAACGGGTGAACAACACAACTGCCGTTTACAAAAATATTTTATCTCTGGTTTTCACGGATGGAGTTTCCGTCCAATTTCCGCTGTGATTATACACACAAGAGTACAAACAATATACTCCATCAACACGAACTGCTGATGTTGAGTATATTTTGAGAAATGTAAAAATGTCTGCCTGCACAACTTTTTTGGGGGGGTCACCCTGTATGTGCGAGTATTAATTTTCTACTTGAACTTGAACTTCTCTTCTGTCACAGAGCTGCATCTGCAGCTATGAAAGATGTGGCCAGTGACGTGGTTTAGTAGTAGATGGCAGGATTGTAGACCACGCGGCCTGCATGAGCCCTTTCATCAAGCTGTGAAATAAAACACAAATACATGTCACCAGTCTTGAAATAAAAGTTGCCGCAAAATGTACACTGAGGGTACATGTAAAACATTGAATATTTGAAACTAAAAATGTGAATCTTTCGATCGTGTAAACTCACCGCTAAGTCATCTTGGTAGAGTTCCAATGCCTCGTGTCCAGTAACCATGTATGGTCGGATGAACTGTGGACGATCCTGCATAGTCTGTTATTCATATTATAAGAAAATTTCAACCAGTAAGTTTTACGTGGTTTGACTAAAATCATACATAGATATCCAAAGACAGTATTGTGACTGTGTCCTTGCCTATACAAACACCTCGTCTGTTTGTATCAGGATCCATTTATGTACATATAATTCTTGCTTTTAAGGGGAGTCAGGTTGGCGTAGCGGTACTTTCCTCGCCTTCCACCGCTGTGACCCGGGTTCGAATCCCGCCTGGGCCAATATGTGGATTGGGTTTTCAGTCCCTACCTGATTCCGTGGGTTTTCCCCTAGAATATTCTTCTGGGCTTTTCCTCCCACCTCTAAAACTGTAATTTTTTTTCTCATTGTCTTCTCTTCACAGGTTTCTTCAGGCTTGCCTAAGGCGCTTTGGAGAAATCCTTGGCTTCAGTACCAGAAATGATTAATAATAATAATAATAATAATAAAAGAGGCATCAAGAAGGACAGGAAGGCTAGGGTTATAACTCCAAGTTCTCACACTGACAGGCTCTTTCTTTATAAATCACTCTTAGAGAAGAACACAGTTAACCTGCCTCACCTGTTGGTAAGGTGACCGGCTCATGACATGAGCGAGACGATTCATCCGCATGTCTTCCTCCCTGTAGTCAGCTACACTGTAGTCATCATCAAAGGTAAACCTGCGATCTCTGCGATCTTCAAAATCAAAGGGTCTCCTTCTAGGTTGGAACTGTCTACTTGGCTGACGGTAGATTTGATCCTTCATAAGGTACTGACGCCTCATTACCATGCAGAAAAACAGGGTGATTCCTACTATCACCAACAGGAGCACAACACACACGACTACGATGACGGCTGTAACTGCAGGTGTCAAACCACCTGCAACAACACAAACAGTACAACTATTTCTCTATGGTTTTTCTTTTTCCCAACAACTTCAGATTCGGAACAGAAAAAAAAAAGTTGAGCAAAAAACTCAATTATCAGATTTTTTCCCCAAAACACAATATTCGTTGCATCATTGCATGGACCTATCGCGGTGGAATCGTGTTAGAATCGCGTCAACGCAGCTTGTGAAATATCGTCCAATTACATGATATACAAATGGACGCAGAACGCGCAAAATCTGAGACAAACGAAACTCAGTGTACAAAAGTTCCATTGGGTTGTCTAAGGGGCGTGGCTATATCTCGCAAACGGCGATAGGTCAATGGACCGATCCAGTAAGCTCCGCCCAGTGCGCACGTGGGCAAATTAACACGTGCTCCGCTCCAATGTCACGCTGCATTTTCCTTCCGCGCGCATCATATGCGCGTGCACGCATGTCGGACTTTAGTGCATGCCCGTCGGACATAAATCACGGCTGTGATTGGTCGGAACACCATGGGGCGGTGCTCACTGGATCGGTCCATTGGGGAACAAACAGAAGTTAGTTGTTACGAGATAAATATCTGTACCAAGGGTGTAAAAACTCTACATGCTACAAAAAGGTCAGTCTGTAAATATAATCCTTTAAAATGAGCAAACTGTTTATAACCTTCTTATCTGTTAAGGAACACAAGGTAGGGAAATTAATTGGTATTGGACATACCTCCTGGGGCTGCCGTAGTCTCTGGGGCTGTCGTTTCCGGTAGTGACGTGGGTACTGCAGTCTCGCACCGCGCACCAGTAAATGATGCTGGGCAACTACAAAACACAGACAGATAACATTCCATGTTTATCTTAATTTCTTAACACTTAAAACTCAGTATGCACCTAAAACTAATAACATGAAGCATTCCCTTCAAGCATTTTTGTTTTTTCATTTTTGATATATAGTCAGCGACACCACGAAGTAACACCCATGTACATACCAGTAAAAACTAGCAATCGGAGAAAACGCCATCTAAAGTATAACGCCTTCTAAAACAACACTTTGCGTCAACACGGCAGAGTATTTTCAGTTGGGGTTCTCGTTGTGGACACTTGATGTATGGAATTGATTAAATCTGCTGTTTTTGACCGGTTTTTATATTAAATCAACAAGAAATAAGAGAAAAAAGGCGAGTGTTAGTTCGTGAAACCGAAAAAGCTGCGAAACAGTACATTTTCGTTTTCACAAAGTAGCACTGGTCTATTCCTCATCATTCTTCCACAAACTTGCAGAGACTGGAACTCCCTGACGTTGGACCCAGCCAGTCTACCGTCCCTCGATGCGTTCAAATCAGCATTGAGGGATGGTACTCACTAGCTTCAAGTTGTCCTGTTTTTAACCTGCATCAGCACTATATATAGTTTTTATAAGCACAGCGAGTCAAGCGCATTCATTGTTCTTGGAGCACGCCCCCCACCCGCAGTGCGTTGTTCTTCTCATCGTAGAAGTCTGCACTTTACGGAAGAAAGGAAGAAAGCACGCGTCAATGTATTACAACAATAGGTAAGTGCTACTTCAGGTCAGCGTGCGCGCTAAAACAAGGAGAGTGTTACTTCGTGAAAACATTTTTGCTCACATTTGAGCAGAGTGCGCGTCATGCTTTACCATGGTATATGGAACTTGAGTGTTACTTCGTGATAACAAAAATTGTCACTTTTGCGCAAAAGTTGCCATGGATAATAAGCGTAAAAGTAAAGCTCTTGAAGCTTTGAAACTTCGTGCAATGGTAAGCCTTGATGAATAATGTTTAAAAATGTAAAAAAACTGAAAATCGAAAAAATATGGTTCAACACATGCAGTGTTACCTCGTACGTGGTGTCGGTGACGATATGTCCTGACGTATTGCAAAAAGTGGGTCCGGATAAGGAGGAATTGGACCATCCCCTTCGATCAATAAAATCATGGATGCTAGTGGCATTTATCTAATTAACTCTCAGTTGCGATTATCGGCTCAAACAGACTTGGTCAAATTCAGTATTTTCAATTACCAAATACTAACTGTAATCAATGTATCTTAAATCGCTTAAAACAAAAATAAGTTCACACAGGCACACAGGCGTGTATTGGGCTGGGGCAAAAGTTGCAAAAAGCACGTTGAAACACCATCGATGTATTGTTGAGTTTTCCCCTGGAAAAAAAAAAAACCAAGAAGAATGCCAGCCGATTGTCTATATTTCAGCTTTGGACCTCTCTTCGTCTTTCAATTCATAATTAAGTCATTAGACAGTGTAATCCATACTCGAAGAATTGAGGCACTTTTCTACCTCTCTGTCGTGTGTTGCTTTTTTTTGGGGGGGGGGGGGTTATTTACTCCCATTCCTTTCTCACAATCCTGGCTCCGCCCCTGAAATTACCTGCAAACTTGCTGAGGGGTGAAGCCTGACGGCTGGCATACTCCGCCATTCATACAACCATCTTGTGTGCAGTCTGATACCATTGCTGATGACAAAACAAAAGCCATTATAAAGAGGGTAAGTGTCACTGCATAGTACTGCATTGTATACCATATCCACTTGTGGGTTTATGTTAAAACTAATCTTAGGCTGCATCCGAATCAACTGTCTAGAGCTAGGTCTAGGTCCACGCCCATTGAAACTACGCAGGGACGCGCTGACAATAGATGTAGCCGTAGCCGCTCTGGAATCTCGTTTCGGACACGGCCTAATTGACACTGTTTACAACTTAGTGTTGCTGCAGCCTGGAGCAGATTTTGAATTCAGTTTTTTTCTTCAGATATATTTTAAATAAGTTGGCACAGTACACTGTTCAAATTTTGAGATCATTTAAACGTATGTGTGCCACATGTTCCTAATTACAAAGGTCATGTACATGAAAATTTACTATTTCTTTTGTTTACCAACTATATTGACAAAGACACCTTTGTCTGCAACAGAAGTTGTACTTAGCTGTAAATAAAATTGGCCCTATACTAATGTCTGTGTTTCAGAGCGTGACTTGAGTTTCAATAACGATGTGAAGTATAAATCTAAAGCAATACTGAAAATTTGATTTGCCTTATCAAAATGTTCATTTAACCCTTACCATTTGCATAACATTACCCCTTCACTGATGAGCACACCATACGGGACTTGCGCAATTTGGGACCATACATGGGCGTGTATGGCAAGACAGTTTAGGGGCGGTATAGGAGTATAGGAACTGATGCATTGCAAAGCCTTACATGTGTTGCTGACACTGACAGAGCCCTGGACAACAGGTAGGGCGTCGCCCAGTCCATCCATCACTATTGTATTGCTAACGGCCTCCACCGATGGTTCCTGCTGCCCTTCGAATGCTAGTGCCGTTTGTGCGACCACACTGCCAGGTTCTAAGCTCAAAACTATTACCGCTGTCACACCCTGTCCCTGCAGTGCTTCCAGGAGCTGGAAGAAAAAAGAAAGTAGTGTTCAGATATAAATGAAGTCTTAATTAGCCCAAGATGCTAGTGATCGCTAATGGACGGTGCATATAGTGCACCCTCGATTAGTACAACAATTTCTTTTCAGTTGTTGAACTATTTCTCAATTTTCTCCCTGGGCTTTCCTAGGGAACCAATCAGCGATCGAGCAAAGCTTCAATGGCTCGCCCAACGGTTGTAAACAATTACGCCCTGGCCTATACGTGCAGTGATCAAGCATCATCGCTTTCCTAGGGAACCAATCAGCGATCGAGAAAAGGTTCAATGGCTCACCTGACAGTTGTAAACATATGCGCTATAGGTGCAGCGATAAAGCATGGAGCTAGTGTTTGTTCGAATTATACAGACGGTTTTATTTACATAAAATGGCCCCGCCCCCATTGCTATGAAATGACCAAGACGTTAGTAAGAGAAAGTTTAAAAAAAAAAACAACAACAACAACAATAATCCTTTGCATAATATTTTACGCTTCACAACAATGCAATTATCACTCTTGATCACTGACGTTTTGGGCCAAGACTAATATTGATGAGGACATATACGTAATTTTGTTCTTAACAATAGGCTGTGATGATTCAAAATAATTCTGACAAAGAAGGTTCTAATGTTTCAATTTCGCAATAGATAGTAAAGATATTTGATAAATTCTGCACATTCTTGACCCTTACACGGCAGAGGACTGTATAGGACCACTGAAGAGCTTGTGTAAACATTCTGGGGAACAGTAATGTTTTATGGACATGAAGGCTATTGCAGTTTCGCAAAAAAACATGTACATGTCCACCTGCAGCTTCCCCTGGACCAAATGTATCATCCATCCATATTGCCCCTCGCCCCTTTTCAAGAAACAAATCTCTGTCCTGTAGTGGAAATTTGTCTCGGTATTTCTGACCCCTCCCCTTCACATTGCATCAGAAATGTGCCCCAGTTGCCCTTCGGGCTATTTCAGGACAGGTGTAGCGTGAATATCAGACTCCATGAAATATGGACTCATTGGTAGTATTGCGCATATGCGTAAGTACGATAATATGGTATTTTTAGGATTTTAATGGGCGAGTAACCTGTCACGTGCGAGGGATTAACCAATAATAGGGAAAAGCAGTCCGATTTTCATAGGAGCCCGATTTTCATACGACACCCGCAAATGCTGAGTTGTATAGGGGAACATGTTCTTATCCGTCCACGTGTGCAAAGACTCAATCCCAGTGTGTGTACTGAAATAAATGGATGAAACAAGAGAGTATATATTACCGCTGAGATAATCATTGCGGCAAGATTCTTGAATGCAGCAGACGATGGATTGTTGTAGGCACTTATGAACTCCTTGTCTATTGACAGGCCTAATTGGAGTGTAGCCTCGGGTTCTGAAAAACAATTAATAAAAAAACAAATAAATTTTAGTATACCGGTCTTGAAGTAATCAAAGTGCACTACTGTATTTTTGTGATTTGAAAAGCTCTTTTTGAAAAAAATGGTAGAAACTTCATAATGCAATATTTTAATCCAAAATACCCACTTGCATAGTGACATGGGGGGAGGCCACCCCCTAATGTAACCCCCCCCCCCCAAATATATGAACACAAGCAGCCTGCTTGTCAATGCTCCGCTGTACTGGTTTGCGAATGTGGCTTGAACTATTAATTAGCACGGTTGCCTGGCAAATTGTTCTGGGAAAAATTGTCTCAATCCTCGGCCCCGCCAAAATTTCCTTCTTTTGTTTTGTGGAGGCTCCTGGATGAGTAGGCAGCCAGCTGATTATCTGCGATGAGTCTTCATGTGGGAGAGAAGTCCGATGCGTGATGCACACTGCCTCCCACATGTGGTACGTGGCAAAGACTCTCCAGAGGTTGTGCCCCGTTTTCATCTCTCTCTTTCTGGTAAGTTGTTTTGATCTCCTGGATCTTCTGTTCAAACGTCTCTGTGCCCTTGGCACAGACTTGCCTTCAGAGGGATCTGTCCTGAGCGCAACCTTCCCGTGAGCTAATGTTTATGCTTGAGATTGGCCTTCACTGTGTCCTTGTACATCTTGTATTGTCAGCCTTGCGCGCGATGGCCTTCTTTAAGCTGGCCGTACAAAAGGATCTTGGGAATCCGGGCATTATCCATGCAAACAACATGGCCTGACCAGAGAAGCAGGCTCTTTATAACCAAGCATTCAATGCTTGATAGACCACACCGTTCAAGGACCTGCAAGTTGGAGACCCTGTCTTGCCACTTGATGTTGAGTAGCTCCCGTAAGCAACGTTTGTGAAACTGCTCAAGTTGCTTGATATGGCGCCGATAGGTGGTTCGTGTTTCACCGCAGTAAAGCAGCGTGCTCAGTGCAACAACCTTGTAGATGACAAGTTTGGTAATGAGCTTGATGTTATGGTCTTTCCAGAGATTTTGGTTCAGTCTGCCAAAGGCAAAGCTGGCCTTAGCAATGCGCAACATCACCTCTGCATCCAGGGGTCTGTTGCTGCACACAGTACTGCTTAGAGCAGAACTTTTCTGCCGACTTGATCTCATTGTTGTTGATTATGATGGGCGTCCGAGGACTAGGGGCCAGAGATGGTGGCACTAATTGACACACACATGAACTCAGTTGAAGGCTAATTGTGAGCCCAAAGCACTGACACGCAGCAGCAATTGACAAACCCATTGTGGCAGGCCTGTGACCATTCAAAGTCCTGCTCCATTTAATAAAAATTGTGTAAGAGCCATCTATACGTACGTGCACATGTATCATCACTCTGGCGAAAATATTGTTCAAACCCATTGCATTCGCAAGTGTAGCCGTCAGTGTTGGTAGCAGGTTGACAGAACATCCCAGTACCTGAGCATGGCGGGTTTGACGCCATACAGGGACTGGCAACTGAAAAAAAAACACAAAGCAAAAATATGGGTCAATGACAGAGATTTCAAGCTATTGTTACTTTAATGCCAATACATTTAGTACGAAATTATCAAAACGACACTGATGGAATTCAATGTAAATTAGATGCAATGATACCTTTCATGATATAGCGAGAACAAATCAAAATGGGGCAAATACTTTTGCATGAAACATGTATCTAGCAAAATATAATAAACATACCATTATATTTACCAGCAGAAGCAATCCATATACCACAAAAGAAAGTCCCCCCTTCCAATACATTTTTGTCTAACTCAAAAACTACTGAGCACCTCTCGCTCAAATAACAACCAATCAGTACTTAAATTCCTTAGCAATCCAGCCGTGCTCTTTATTTGTTCCAAAACAGAGATAATGTGCACCAAATTATGTAATTTATAACAAATGATACCGAAAACAGTTGCACTTTTGTATAGGCATAAGTTGTGGTTCACACTCACCTTGCACATATACAACAGTGCAACTTTTTCTTGATAGCATTTTTCATAAACTGCATAATTTTAGTCATAATTTTAGAAAGATGTGCCCAATAGTTTTTGAGTTAGACAAAAAAGTATTAGGGGGACTCTCTTTTTTGGTTGAGTGTGTATGTGGGACCATTACGATATCAGAAAAAAATTCTTGCAGTTTCGACAACTCATTGCAAAGTCCTACCTGCACAAGTTGGTCCAGAAAAAGCAGACGGACAAACACACTGGCAGAAATTTGCATCGAATGCGCCTCCATTCAGGCAACTGGATGCGGACAGCTCGCAGCCTAATATAAACAAGCACACAAACCAGGAGCCGGATGACAATTGAATTAATGGGCATTGTAAGTGACAGGTGCCTATAGGGATCATGCTTCAAGTCTCGATTCTACAGCAACGTGAACAATGTAACACACATCTGTTTATGGCTTTTAAGATTAATGCGAATGTCTTTGCATGACCAAAGACATTCACACTGTGGGAAACACTGGCTGAAGATCTAAAAAGTTCTTTTGACTTATCTCAATTAAGGGTGACTGCTCTATGTTTCGACATCCCTACGTTCCGACAACCCGCACATAAGATTGTGCTACTACCATTTAGGGTTCGGGTTAGGGATAGGAATATGAGCAGTCGGAACATATAGGGGTGTCGAAACATATCGGAACGGTGTGTCAGAACATATAGGTGTCGGAACATAGGTGTGAAACCATTTCAAGTGAGGTCCATGTCAGAGACGTCCTCCCGAAAAAGAAATAACAGTGTAGGTGGTGGGAAGTACCTGGAATGACAGTTACGCCACAGATTCTGAGTATTAAATCTTTTGATGTAGTGAGATGAAGCTCAGTATGCTTTGCAAATGTATAAAAATGAAAATGTGAAAAGATGTCCTTCTGACTTTACTTCTTGCGATCCGGTCACATCTATTCATCAAATGAATTTGAAAGCCGCTGCTGCCAAATTCAAAATCATATGAATTACAGAGGAAGGCTTTGGTCGAGTCCATTTCTTATTCACTCAGTATGACGTGTTAAAGTAGGAGTAAAATCTGCAAGTATTTACATCACCCTTATTCAAATTCCATTTTATGAATTGCAAGTACGTAACGCACGATATATTTTCTTTTTCTCAAAAAGACATGGACTCGAATTTGAGTCAAAACTCTTTTGCAAATAATTTGTCATTTTCGGTATACTGTTTTGTTGAAATATCAGATTCCTTGATATGATTGGTGTTTTCATGTTCTCATCTATTCCACACGAGATCATCAGAGAAAGACTTGGCTTTAAGCCTTTAAAGTACCAAGTTTTCAGAACACGATTTGCCCATTATTTTTGTTTGTTCTAAAAACAGTTAATACCTGATACGTCAAATGTGAAGGTATTGGAGGCAGAGCAACTAGCAGATTGGGAAAACATGCACGTGATTGTGTGGGATCCTACTCCAAAGGTGCCACCTGAGGTCGTCACTCCAGTTCCGCCTCCAGAATCAGTACAAGTGATGCTTGCACCCTCAGCATTGGTGGCAGTTACAAGGATCCAATTCACAGCAAGTGTAGTTGCACCAACTGGTAAACTCTGTGAGTCGACACTCGGCACATTCACAGTTGGTGCTAAGATAAGAAAACAAAGTAATAATAGAGACTTAGAGTAAGCCATTTTGCCTTTGAGCTTCCGGCCGGACCCCCTCCGCGACCCGGCCTTCTATGGGTATTTTACACGGGGTTGCCCTTTTTCTTGCTATAATTGTTGACAGAACCAATTTTAACCGTAATCACCACGCGTAACAATCATGTTGTAATATTGTCTTGGCATTCAACAAGAAAAAAATGATGAGAAATCAGTTGGAGATCAACCTCGTCCCCAGTGCTTACTCTATTTCCAACCGCGTTTCCAATAGTAAACCCTGGATAGGAAACTTTCTTCCTGTATCCTGATTGGATACCGCAATTGGCTAGTAATGGATTTTTATCGTGTACTTGGTGCTATTATTCACAACGTGCAGTACGTGTTTTCGCGATTATTCGTCCACGCCTTCTCGAAAATACTAATTTCCTTTCCAATTTGCTCATATTAATATGAAATATGATACTGCATGTTGTCTCGATAAGATCGTAACAGTTTGATTTCAAAAATCGTGTTTTCGTAACTCACGCCGTGCTCGCGCTGCTACGAATTGACTCTGTTTTTACCCCAGACACCGCATACAAAAACAAACGCTAATGTGTAACGCATATCCATGCACCAGACTGTTCCTCATTTGCATACGTGTGCAAAAATCTTGCACATGCAAATGATCCAATACCAGGGTGAGAGAGCAGGTAGTAGTGGGCGCGTACTGCTCGACACCCTGGGGACGAGGTTGGTTGGAGATGGATAAAAACGAATTTTACGTACGACCTTTCACATCCGGATTTTCGTATCTAGGTCTCCTTGCTCGAGAACGAAAATAATAACGACGCAAAGATTTACCTATCTACATCAGATGGATTCTAGAGTAAGTAGGACTTGCTTGAATACAGTTCTTATCAACGGTCATTTTATATATTTTTTTTGTAAATGAGAATTAGACCTTCAAGTTTTTTTTTAAAATTGTGTTTCCTTAAAGATATGGTAGTTTTCTAATTATGTTTCAGTTTTTGACCAATGACCGCTACAAAATAATTTCATAAATTTCCATCTTTGTACGAGTGCTCAGATTTCCACTAGTCCACATGTATTTTAGATTTTCAGAAGTGAGAGGTAATATTTTGGCACATTTTTTCCTTTCACGTCATGCCATTTTTTCGTTTTCACAAATGTACAGCATGTACACTCCAACCAGTCTTAAATATATTGTTTAAAACCTCCCATGCTCACATTTATTCCCTTATTCAAATACACTGCATATAAATATACTGTGTATAATATAAGTTTGCATAAGACAGTGGCAACTGACAGTGGCAACTGCTCACATCTATTCACTCGAGAGATCGGATAAAGACTTTGAGTATCAATTTTTCAATACAACTTTTGACTTTGTTTTCGTTTGTTCTAACAACAATCAATACCTGCTACGAGAAATGTGAAGCTGTTTGAGCCTGTGCAACCATTGGAAGTAACGCTGCACGTGATTGTGTGTGATCCTGCTCCAAAGGTGCCTCCAGTGGTCGTCACTCCAGTCCCGCCTCCAGAATCAGCACAAGTGATGCTTTCACCCCCAGCATCGGTAGCAGTCACAGCGGTCCAAGTGACCGAAAGTGTAGCTTCACTAGCCACTAAACACTGCACACTGACAGTAGGCACAATCACAGTTGGTGTTGCTAAGAAAAGAAAGAAACAAGATCTTTACAAAATGGGCAATTTCATTCCAATGGGGACATGACAACTCCCATCATGTCCAAACTGGATAACTTTATGTAGCAAATTTGAGAAAACCTATATGAAGCAATTGTTGACTGCTGTGATGTGGGATATGACGTTTTAACACCCAAGGGGCGCATATAGCCACTGCTACCAAATTTCAAATCATATGAATTAGAGATTAATGATTTGTTCAGTCTTTTTACTTATTTTCTCAGAAGAGGTCAGTGTTCAAATAGGAATTAATACAAGTAAAAAAGGCTGGTTACTTTGAACAATGTGAGCCTAGGACATCACTGCAAGCATTTACATTACCCCTCTGTAAATTCAATCTTATGAATTGTAAGTAGGGCCTGCACAATATTTGTTTTCCTCCAAAAAAACATGGACTTATGTTTGAGTCAAAGCATTTTTGCAAATAATTGGGCATTTTCTGTAACTGCTCACATCTATTCACCCACGAGACCAGATAATGACTTAACATGACACTTTTAAGCATCAATATTTTCAAAACACGTTTTGCCCTTATTTTCGAATTTCATGTAGATCTAGAAACAGTCCATACCTGATACGTCAAATGTGAAGGTATTGGAGCCCAAGCAACCGTCGGAATTGGTTACACTGCATACGATTGTATGTGATCCCGCTTCAAAGGTGCCACCAGTGGTCATCACTCCAGCTCCGCTTCCAGAATCAGCACAGGTGATGCTTGCTCCCCCAGCATCGATGGCAGTTACAGCGTCCCAAGTGACCGAAAGTGTAGCTTCACTAGCCACTAAACACTGCACACTGACAGTAGGCACATTCACAGTTGGTGTTGCTAACAAAACAAAGAAACAAGATCATTACAAAATGGGCAATTTCATTCCAACGGGGACATGACAACTCCTGTCATGTCCAAACTGTATAACTTTATGTAGCATATTTGCCAGGACAGGCCTATATAAAGCAATTGTTGACTGCTGTGATATGTGGCATATGACGTTTTAACACCCAAGGGGCGTATACAGCCACTGCTGCCAAATTTCAAATCATATGAATTAGAGATTAATGATTTGTTCAGTTTTTTTTCTTATTCTCTCAGTATGAGGTCAGTGTTCAAGTAGGAATCAATACAAGTTAAAAGGCTGGTTACTTTGAACAATGTGAGCCTAGCTAGGACATCATTGCAAGCCTTAACATTACCCCTATGCAAATTCAATCTTATGAATTGCAAGTAGGGCCTGTGCAATATTTGTTTTCCTCCAAAAAAACATCGACTCGTATTTGAGTCAAAACATTTTTGCAAATATTTGGGCATTTTCTGCAACTGCTCACATCTATTCACCCACGAGGTCAGATCAAGACTTAGCTTTAACACTTTTAAGTATCAATATTTCAAAACAGGTTTTGCCCTTATTTTCGAATTAGATCTGAAACAGTCCATACCTGCTACGCTAAATGTGAAGGTATTGGAGCCAGAGCAACCGCCAGAATTGGTAACGCTGCACGTTATTGTGTGTGATCCTGCCCCAAAGGTGCCACCAGTGGTCGTCACTCCAGTTCCGCCTCCAGAATCAGTACAGGTGATGCTTGCACCCTCAGCATTGGTGGCAGTTACAGCGTTCCAAGTCACATCAAGCGTGGTTGCACCAACAGCTAAACACTTCCCATCGACTGTTGGCACAGTCACAGTTGGTGTTGCTAAGAAAACAAAGAAACAATATCAGTATAAATTAGGCAATTTCATTCGAACCGGGACATGACAACCCCCGTCATGTCCAAACTGTATTACTTTATATGCAGTGTATTTTGATATTTAACAATTGGTGACTGCTGTGATGTATGGTATGATGTTTTTAACATCGGCGGGGCCCATAGCACCCTCGGCTTCGCCTAGGGTGCTATGCTCCCCAAGGGGTTAAAAATGGCATATCCCACATCATGACAGTCAACTATTGTTTTGTTATATCGTGCCAATAACTAAATAAAATAAATGGTTGTAACATACTTTGTGATAAATAAATAAAATCACTGCTATGTAACCTTTGATAACTGAAGGTTTTGATTTCCCGCCGGATATGAGTCTGAGCGTTCGACGTAGCAATTCTCATCAAATAAACTAATTCATATTTCAAAAAGGAAAACGGTAGGGCCTATATTCCCTGTCCCCCATTGTATTGCAAGTACGCAATAAGTGTTTTTTTTTTTTCCTCAAAAAATCATGGAGAAATATAATGACAAATAATACGCAAACTTTGTAACTCCTGAACAACTTATGGATGCCAAGGGTACAAGAAATGTCAAAGACGTAACATATTTGGGAAACCAGCTATCATAAAAAAAATTACAAAAGTAACCGATTCATATTAAATTTTCAAAAGAACAAACGGTATGGAATTCCTTGTCCCCCATTGTAATATGAACTTGTGACCATACGTGAGTTGTTGTATATTTTGATGGTGTGTTCAAGAAATGTAAATAATGTATTGATGGGGAGCAAACTTATGCATACCAAAGAAACCTTTCAGAAAATATCCTATAACACACTTTCTAAAGTTTCTTTGTGAGCCCTATCAAAGCAATCTAATCATTCATACGCTAAAGGAAAAATCTTTACCACATGTGGTTGTTCCTGGAGCATTGGTTTGTCCTGGAGCGTCGGTTTGTCCTGGAGCATCAGTTTGTCCTGGAGCGTCGGTTTGTCCTGGAGCGTCGGTTTGTCCTGGAGCATCAGTTTGTCCTGGAGCGTCGGTTTGTCCTGGAGCTTCAGTTTGTCCTGGAGCATCAGTTTGTCCTGGAGCGTCGGTTTGTCCTGGAGCGTCGGTTTGTCCTGGAGCATCAGTTTGTCCTGGAGCGTCGGTTTGTCCTGGAGCGTCGGTTTGCCCTGGAGCGTCGGTTTGTCCTGGAGCGTCGGTTTGTCCTGCAGCGTCAGTTTGTCCTGCAGCGTTGGTTTGTCCTGGAGTGTCGGTTTGTCCTGGAGCGTCAGTTTGTCCTGGAGCATTGGTTGGTCCTGGAGTGTCTGTTTGTCCTGGAGCGTCAGTTTGTCCTGCAGCGTTGGTTTGTCCTGGAGCATTAGTTTGTCCTGGAGCATTGGTTGGTCCTGGAGTGTCTGTTGGTCCTGGAGCGTTGGTTTGTTCTGGAGTTGGGGTTGTTCCTGGAGCATTGGTTTGTCCTGGAGTTGGAGGTGTTCCTGGAGCATTCGTTGTTGCTGGAGCTGGGGGTGTTCCTGGAGTGTTGGTTGCTCCTGGAGTTGGGGGTGTTCCTGGGTCGTTGGTTGTTGCTGGAGCTGGGGTTGTTCCTGGGTCGTTGGTTGTTGCTGGAGCTGGGGGTGTTCCTGGAGTGTTGGTTGGTCCTGGAGTTGGGGGTGTTCCTGGGTCGTTGGTTTGTCCTGGAGTTGGGGGTGTTCCTGGGTCGTTGGTTGTTGCTGGAGCTGGGGGTGTTCCTGGAGTGTTGGTTGGTCCTGGAGTTGGGGGTGTTCCTGGGTCGTTGGTTGTTGCTGGAGCTGGGGGTGTTCCTGGAGTGTTGGTTGGTCCTGCAGTTGGGGGTGTTCCTGGGTCGTTGGTTTGTCCTGGAGTTGGGGGTGTTCCTGGGTCGTTGGTTGTTGCTGGAGCTGGGGGTGTTCCTGGAGTGTTGGTTGGTCCTGGAGTTGGGGTTGGTCCTGGAGTGTTGGTTGGTCCTGGAGTTGGGGATGTTCCTGGATCCTCGGTTGGTGCTCCTGTGTCGTTGGTTGATGCTCCTTGATCGTTGGTTATTGTTGGACTTTGGGTTGTTCCTGGATCCTCGGTTGGTGCTCCTGTGTTGTTGGTTTGTCCTGGAGTTGGGGATACAAGAAAGAGAACATGCAGAATAGTGGCTCTTTAAACATGCAAGGACAGCCAAGAAGCAGGAGGATTACTGGTTCTTTACTCATGCGAGGACACCTTTTTTGATGAAGTGCTCCTGTTCCTTGCTCTATGGTTGCTCTTTCCTCACGAGAAGGAGCAAGCAAGTTTATTTGATATTTACAATCCTTACAATAAAAAGAGTGTCGAGTGTGACCGGTCAATCTACAGGGTGAATCAAACAGAAGTATACACACTCTGAAAAATGTCCCTAAAGTGAAAATGTTAATATTTTTTTCGAATATCGCTCCGTACATGTGGGCATATAAACCTGTCAGGCTTTAAATGACACTATGATCATTTAGGCACTTTTATGCATGACTGATCAGGAGTTACATTTGCAAACTTTGTGAGAAACGGCTGGCACACATAAATGCAGTCTTTTTACCTGGATCAATGCAATTAGATCGACAATCCAACATGTTCCTTTTTTTTATTCACAAAGACCTGCAATAAAAATCGAGGATATTAAACCTCCACATTTTGTTTTCCTTTTCCTTTCTTCTCAACCGCCTAAAATTTACTGTATGTTGTTACATTACGCATTGTCTACATTTGGATAAATATATGTGGGCTTTCTGTGCACTTCCCTCATTCTTGCCATTGGGCTGATCTGTATCGAACAAGATTAGAGCACACTGCAGCAAAGGTCTCTTTGTAACTGCGATATCACCGGACAGAGGATCAGGAATGGTCAGGCGTGTCGTAAATGACATGTTAATGTGGAGGGCGGAAGTCTGATTCCAAAGGAAGTTCAAGATACCTGTAATTAAATTTCCACATTAAATGGTGATAAAAAAGGAACAAGTCGGATTTGTTTCTTATTGCCATTGATTCAGTTAAAAACACCGCATTTGTGTGCGCAAGCCGTTTCTCATAAAGTTTGCAAATGTAGCCCCTGATAAGTCATGCATGAAAGTGCCACAATGATCATGGTGTCATTGAAAGCCTGACAGGTTTATCTGCCCATGTATGGAGCGATATTCAAAAAAATAATATATATTTTTGAGGGGAGGACATTTTTTGGAGTATCACCAGCCTGAATAGGAGTCACCTTGGTACGGTCCTTCTTTGAAAACATAGTGTTTATTGTTGTCTCCCAATTAGTTAAAGTTATGATGATGTGAAGCTTTTGAATTGGCTGCGTCCAACTTGACACACTAGTCACTCTGTTTCTAAGATCATGAGCAAAGATCCTATAGCGCCGTTATAGGATCTTTGATCATGAGTGAACATCGCAGTCGCAATGCATGAAGACAACCGTCCAACCTTGGCTAGTGGTTCACGGAGCTATAGCTATAAGCACGCCCAAGATAAGATCATACTTTCAGAATCTCAGAATCTCAGAAAGTTGACTGGTCGCTAGGCATCACCATCCAGAGTGCCAACCGATGAACAAGAAAGCAAACACAGGTATGATGGCTGCATGGCTAGTGCTATTCACGTACATCATCATCATCATCATGTCGACCCTCGTCCGACTGCCGGGAACGCCATACATCACGGTTTCCCATGGCCGACCTGATCTCGGCTGCGGAGGCTAGCCCGGTCACGACGCAGCTGGTCCGTCTGTACTTTTGTATGCCCACGTCCTAGTACTCGAGAGGCTACTCCATGACTCCATGAGTGGGTTAATTCCCATAATTAGATGAGTTGGTTTGCCGACGGTTGCCGCTATCCTCTGGATGGCGAACGCGCGCAGTGTAGACATGCGCAACTAGTGAGTCAGTACACTATTTCATAATCCTAAATTCACAATACGTCACAGCTGCGTTCTGCGCCACTCGTGCACTGTACGCGCCGCGTGCCAATCTCCGAGATGAACATTCTATAATAAAGGGTATTTCGAAAATCATGACATAAAATTGTTGAACAATAGTTGGAAATTTATAATGTTCGACTTGTTTTGACTGTTGGACCGAAAAGTTTTGATTTTTTTAAAGAACAAGACTTATTTATGAATGGGAATAAATAATGTCTTAAAGCCAAGTCAATTGAACCTAATTTTTTCGATCGCTGATCGGGTCCCTATAGGAAAGTGATGATGCTTGATCACCGCACGCAGGCGGGCTAGGCCAGGGCATATGTTTACAACTGTTGGGCGTGCCTCAACTCGCCGCTACCACTCGATTCACGTATAGTTTGCGATGTTCGCATTGACTCCCATTCACGTTGGCGGGCGCAATATTTAAACATGAATTTCTCCCGTTTAGAAGACGGTATCTTCATGCAACTTTCAGGGTTTAGTTCCCTAATGATCCAAGTGCTACAAATCATTGTGATATGTTCATTACTTTTCGTTGAAATTGGAAAAATAGGTTTGTGTAGGTGCAGTTTTGAAAGCTGTAATACTGGCGTTTGCAATATATCTGTCAATCTTTTCAAGACTCACGAATATTAATAAGGTTCATATATCCATTGTGGTGTCCAGTAAAAATTTGCAAAAAAGCCTCCTTCACGAGTTATAATTGATAAATATCACCCTTTTTGCCGGCTTCCATTGGTCAATATACCAAGAGCCACCCCAAATCACGCAGTGGCGCACCCAGTATTTGGCTTGGGAGGGGGCTCAAAAAAAATCGGAATAATTATGTTAGCGAAATTTTTGGCAGCAGAAAAAAAGTGAGGGTTTTTCGGGGGGTGAACTATTTTGACGTTGGTGGCGCAAAATACACCCCTATTTTACTACTCAAAAATAGGTCACATATCACCAAGGTCAAATCGTGGGTGGGACTACAAATCTACGTCGAAATATTGCTTGGAGTTCATAAGATGTAACACTGTGTGTTTGCAACGATAGATTAAGCTGAATGAAATTCGGAATGTACTAATAGAGTGATTGAAGTGTTCAACTACTCGTGAAGAAGTGAAGAACAACTTGAAGAAGTTCCAAGAAATCGATATAAATAGATTTGGGGAAGTTTTCGACCGTCCAGACTTGAAGGTCAGCTAAACCAGTATCCAGGATTGACGCTTCTGCATAGATGACGGCAATTTTTTTTTCACTGACATGAAGTTTAGAATTTCTTTTCCCGTTATAATATAACGTTTCAAGCATACTGAGCATATTTTTGAAAAACACAACGTCCAAAAGGCCTTTTTTTTTGGTGCAAGAATTTCACTGCTCTGTCATAACGTCTGAGAACGTACGCGTAAGCGGATTAGCTTTGCTTACCAACGACAGACATTTTCCAAGTCACAGCCATAATGGCTGATATTAGTCCTTCAAAATGGATTTTTCTTTAGGAAAAGTTGTTTTTTAAGTCCCCTTATTTGTGTGTATAAGGGCGTGTTGCTTGTTATGCTTATTTGTTTTTTTATTTCAGCTTTTCAACGTCGTTTTATAAACTATTGCTAGGTTTTCTGATTCACAACTCGTGTTTATACAAGTCTATGAATGTTACTGTAGAGAAGCATTAACTGTATTAAATGTAAGGAACATAATTTTGGCCTATACGAACGAATGTCTATGAATGTAACTGTAGAGAAGCATTAACTGTATTAAATGTAAGGAACATAATTTTGGCCTATACGAACGAATGAACGTACTCTTTCAGAATTCTACTAATAAGCAAAATGTGGGTAAAACGTTGTTCAAAATAGAAATTTCTGTGTATGCGATGCGAAGGAGAGTTCTTCTAGCAAAACAAAGAAATTGGTTGGAGCGGGATATGACGACTTCATCTGGATAACCCTACCGGTGTTCTATTCAACTGAGCTATCCAGCCCGGCCTTATCCTGTTTTCCCAATGTGTCAATATCTTTGTTCAAGGTAGCCTTGGTCAATGCTCTCGTCGTTATTCGTCCCGTACGCGGTCAATCATCGGCATATATCCTCACGCGCTAGCGCTATGCACATGCATGTGGAAATACAGCGCGAACAGCGACCTCATGCGGCCACTATTTTTATGTAAATCAGTTGGAGATGATGTCGAGCCTTGGTTCAATCGTCGGCCAAAGCTTATGTTTTTCTTTACTTTGCGCTAGATTTCCAGCGCACGACCTCGTATGCGAATACAGAAAATGTAGGCGGGGCTAATATGTGGAGTGTCCAATCACACCTTGGTAAATCCGGACGTCATCAAATTATTTGCAGCTATTCCGCCTTTTGCGGACGTGACAGGAACCACAGTTTTTGTGCATTGGTGCCGTGTGCAGAGACACACAATGTGTACTGTATGGATTATGTACGGTGCCACGTTTCACTATGCAAGTTTCCACGCAACGATCGACCAATAAGGAAACGACATTTAAGGTCAGCTAAGGCTATTAACATAATGAGCACCACCCCCAAAACCTCACATGGACGATTGAACCAAGGCTCGACATCGTCTCCAACTGATTTGCATAAAAATAGTGGCCGCGTGAGGTCGCTGTTCGCGCTGTATTTTTACATGCATGGGCATAGCGCGTGAGGATTATGCGGACGATCGATTGACCGCGTACGGGACGAATAACGACGAGAGCATTGACCAAGGCTATGTTCAAGGGCGCTGGTCAGAAGCCATAAACCCGTATATGTAGTCATATCATTGCAGGGATCACTTCCAAAGTCACGATGATAGCAATTAATTTGGCAATGCTGGGATCGTACCAAACGGGGATCACTCATGAGATACGGATTTTTAAAAATTAATTAGGACAAATTAATGCAATTCGAAGAGCTATGAAGGCCTTTTACCGAACAAGTGTTGAATGAAAAAGAAAACATATTAGTTTTTTTTTTACAAAACTTGCAGGATCTGCCATAGACATTTGCACTTGGGGGAAGAATCGCCTGAACAGTTCCATCAGAGATTGAATGCGTTCCACCCCACTATTAAACTCACTTTGGAATAACACTACCGTTAAGTTTTGTTCCATTTTATACTTAAAAATAACACCACGAAACCCACAACTCTTTCAAGCGTGTGCCGTTCGTGTGTGTGTTTTTCCCAAAGTTGGAAAAGGCGCGAAAGATAAACAGGCCCTCGGCAATGTCCCAAAAGGGTTTTTCTTTGAGAAACCAGGTTCATGTAGGCTTTGAGTGAAGGTGTCAAATTTGACCCAGCATTGTGTTAAAAGTCACAGTGGGCCTCATGTTAGTTGGGAAAGTATTACCAACAAAATAGGGAGTCACATTGTTGGGAGAAACCAGGGGAATCGAGTGGCATGCAGCGGCGAGTCGAGGATCGCGACGATAACCATGTCATGGCGCAATGTGACGCGGCCCGCGGGGCCACGGGTGGGTGCCGTGGTATACGTGTTGGCGAGGTTAGCTTGATTACTGTCTTGTTACAATACACACATTAATGAATCTTATATACAGTACCTGTGTTACACTTTGAATTTAAAAAAAAAAACACTTTAATTGGACCGCTTGTATAACTTGTTGACTTTTTAAATTTTGATAAATTCAGTTTTTATTCAATTTCAGCACATTCTCGTTAAAAAGTTAAGTGCCCTTGTTAAACGATTAAAGTCATGTACTGAATTTTTAAATTTCAATCGAATTCATCTCAACAAGTCAAACAGCCTTGAAGAGTTAGTTTAATTGCCCATGCACCATTTAATGGAGGCACGTTGACTTCCTTTCCTAGTCAATTAGGGATCACGCAGCTCTCATTTTACGGGGTTTTTATTCCCGCCTTCCATCTGAAATGGAAACGGTTGTTGGTGTGTTCGAACTAGAAAACAACATTCGAATGGTATTGAAAGGAAAGTCAGAACTTACCGCCAGTCATTGTTGCTGTTGTTTGATTTCCTACTGAGACTGTTGGCACTGGGACTGTTACGAGAAGAAACAAAAAGGCCACAAAGAGCGCATCTGAACTCCGCCGTTGACGCATCTTGCTCACCAGGGTTGACGGCGATCGCTCTGCCTTCAAATTCGCCCAGAAATCCCTCTGAATCCTGTCAATTATATGATCCGGCGACGTACAGGCAGCACGCTGCTCCGAGCTCAATCTACGAGCGGTCTGTGAATGTCACACCGAAGCGACACGGCAGGTATTGGGGCTTAGATCGAAATACCCCTCCCCTATATCTGTGATAGACAGCTCCGAATGTGATTGTCAACAAGTGACCCCCGAATCGGTTTTCCTTTTTTCCCCTTACAAAAAAAACACGACGTCATAAAAAAGTTATTGTGGGTGCCAACTCGAAATATACGAAGATCACGATTTGTTTTCCATATCGCATTTCCACTTGATCGCACATCATACAAAAAGAAATTCACAGACCGTGCGCAATTTCGTTTTAATACATAAACGTACAAGAGCGCTGACTCTCTTTTTCTACAAAGAAAATACTAATTGAAACTCAGCCAATGGGAAAAACCGTACAAAATAAACGAATTGTGTTCCACTCTATATTTGAAACCCAGGGGCCATGTCCAAGTTTGATATTATAGCTCCCGTATTTCAAAAACAAATTGTCATATGGGCCCTCATTTGAGCCACTCACTTTTATTCTTTTATTCTCGGCAACTTTTCATGTTCTTAACAGATGTAAAAATGTGTGCAAACCAACTTGTTGTAGTGTCTTCCTCTACTAGAATAAGGGAAATGTTTTCTCTCACTTTTTTTCCAGGATGAACCCTAGGATCATCCCTCAGATTGTTTAGAATAAACACATAAACAGATATGCAGGTCTTTGTTCCTCTATGGAGCATTATGATTTAACCTCGTTCGCATGGTCTCATGTCAATCTCGATATATAGTTTTCTTGATGTCCCCTAAGTGCGTGGCGCAGCCCCTATAACGTGGCGCACTTAAATGTTTAGCCTCTATGGGCAACGACGTCCCATGGGCGGGACATCTCGCTGGTTGACGCGTACCGTTCCTTGTGTGTGACGCACGTACACCAGGGGATTTGTACTATGCACACGCGCGCAGTGGCCGCGCTGCGCGGCGATGAATTGAAGTCAGACAAGATGGCGTCGGTCGGTCACCCCCAACTGTACTTGCTTGCCGGTGAGGGGGTACTTGTAAACGGAGTGGATAGTGCCTTGCTAGAGCAAAAGGTTTATCCTCAAATAGATATTTCATCAAGTTCTATGCATTCCCGTTAAAAAAATGAATTGAAGTATTTCTAAGTTTAGATGGAACAAGGTATACCCTCTCCCTTTGGCTATAAAATTATCCAAAATCCTGCTTCTTTTAAGGTTTACCTTCGATTCAAAAATGGCCGATACTGAACCTCATTGGCTGCACGAGTTTCCAGTGAAAAGTTGTGGGCGAGTTGATCAAGCCATCCAGTTATGGACTCCTATCAAATTTGTGTTTATTAATGTTGATCATTTTAAAGAGGTATTTTTGTACTTATGGCGGCCATATTGAATTCTAAGCATGCACTACAGTTGGCCATGAACGATCGTCTAAAATCGATTCTTGGTAGGTTTGGGCCAAAAAAATGCTTCCGACCTACGAAACTGCAACATTCCATTTTTTTAAACAAAATGATAAGGTTTTTTTTACCGTATTAGGGCCAATTGGGGTCTTTTAAATCGCTTGCTATGGTTATCGCCGGCATCCTGAATTTACTCACCCTGTTTCTGTTAATCAGTAGGTTTATATTCTGTCACTATAGAAAGAGGTACGTTTCAGGAAATTTCTTTAGAAAATTGGCTTGATATATGATCAATGGACTATACTATTAAAGTACAGGTATTTGTCATTAAAGCTCCATCATAATTCACAGATGATTGCGCTCCAAAGGATGGCATCCAGACGGTGTGTAGTTTGGTTGGTTTTCTCAATGCAAACCTGCTCAGGTTCAAAAGTTCAGCGTAAACGCCCATGAAAGTTGATTGGCTCGTCCCCAAGCTTTTCAAATTTCCGCGTGGAATATAATAGGACTTTAACACACTAGACGGCTACGGGAGACGGAGCCAAAAGTGCGCGAAATGTACTGACGTCCGTGTTGTCGCCCGTTTCACGTGTAAAACTGTTGTGTGAATCTTTCGATCTTCTTTCGAATCAGGTTCATGCTCTGATTTTCTTTAAAAAACAAAAAACAAAAAAAAAACAGAATGTTAAAATCCTCTCGTAAAAGCTGATAATCGGCCACAAAGTTATACTTAAGTGTGAATGAAGACGTCATGTAGCCTACTGGCTTCACAGTTATTGTGAACTTCTCTCCCAAATTGTGACATGAAAATTGAATATCAAGTTCTTGGGAATTTGTTGAATTTCAAATATTGTTCTTTCTTATTAACAGTTTATAGTTTAGTTAAAAGCTTATATTTCTTTTATCCACGAAGTGGTTCAAGATGGACTCTACAAGATGGACTCTTTTCCACAACCCCTGAAATTGTCAGAAACTTTATAATAATGATAACAACTTGCCAACAGTATATCTTTAGATGCACGTACGGTCTAATTCAGCCATCTTGTTTGTGCTTCCAATCCTAAAGTTCAGATAAATTCAAGGCCGCTGTATTGTTGGATTCCCCCCTTTTTTACTCTAACAAAAACGCTAGGTTCGAGTTCAAAGTTTAACCGAGCAACGCCCATGCAATTTGAATAGCATGAGGCTCGGGTATTCATTAGCCGCACTGGACCTTTCAGTCCGGGTAATATAGTTTGCGACTTGACAATAGCCTTTCGTCGTTCAAGCGCCAAACAACTTCAAATGCATACACAAATTAACAAAGAGAAAAAGGTTCTTTTTTGAAATGGCACGGAAAGCACTTTTTGGATATTAAAATTTGAGATTTTTGTTCGAGAACAAAAATTTTTGGTCTTGTGACTTGCTATGCTTATTATTATAAAGTAATGTTAAGGATTCATGACCACATCCGAGTGCAGCAGACGACAGTGCGTCGGAAACGTATAAAGGGTTTTTTTTATGTGCGATAGAATTTCTTCTTGCTTTTTACTGCACATTTTACATTAGGTTTTGTATTGAAGGGATCTTTCGTTTAAAACGCGTTTTAAACGCAATGATGTTAATTGGAAGAGCATTTAAAAGTAGGATTATACGTCCACACAACCATGCTTAAAATTTTTCGGTTTTGTGTTAGTCTTGGAAGATCTCTTAAAAATCAAGCAGTTGGGGGCTGTTGTGAATCCTACCGCACAGCTGCGCATCACATTCTGCGGACATGCGAGATTAACGGCATTACTTGACATGGTATGGGCTGTTATGCACTTATGTTGTTGGTTTTTTTGCGAAAGAAGGATTTTTTGACATATTTGGGTAGATTTTACCTTCTTGAGCCAGAAATCCATTGGTAACATTTTGGATGGCAGCCATCTTAAATATTTCAAAATGGCCGCCCCTTTCGACTTATTTGCATAATTAATTTGGACTCGAATGTCGTACGAGGTCCATTTTGGTGGCAAACCCCATAAATTTGAGGCTAATAAGAAATCTAAATAATACATTGTTGATGAGGTGTCCCGATGCATGGCAGCCATCTTGGATATTTCAAAATTGCCGCCATCTTGGATTTCATTTAAATAATACCATTGCACCTGGATGTCATGTCATTTTGCGCGCCGAGAACGGCGGCCATTTTCAAATATCCAAGATGGCTGCCATCCTTTTGGAATACACCATAAACAATGATTTACTGTGGTTTCTTGGTTTCAAAAACATGGGGTTTGCCACCAAAATGGACTTGATATGACAATCAGGTCCAAAGTTATTATACAAAATGGTGGCCATTTTAAAATCAAGATGGCCGCCACACGATAGACGGAAACAAAATGTTAGTTATTTTGTTACTAATGGATTTCTGGCTCAGGAAGGTAAACTCTATCCAAATGTGACAAAAATTCCTTCTTTAGCAAACAAAAATGCAATGGTCAAAAATACGACAGAATAATACATGTACTACTAACAGGCGATGTTTTGCCACGTGCAGATTGTGAGAAACACACTATGAAAAGTTCACGGGAACAAGAGATGCCATGCATCGGCAGCCATACAAAAATAAACATCAATTCCGAGGCCAATTCAGAGAGTACCAAAAAATACGCTGAATCACAGTATGGAACACGTCGTATCAATATAAGGTAAGTAATTGTTGCGATAGCGCCATGGGCGGCAAAATCTCGTTTATGAGTGCTGGTATGTGTGGTTCGAAAAGGTCTCCTGACCAGGGTGACCGTAAGGTCATGGCCAAATTCTGCAAAATGGACTGCAAAAATCTGTCAGATTGATCAGAAATCTGCCAAATTCCAAAGAATTACCCGAAATGCACTATAAACACTTAAAATTACATGCAGATGTTGTAGTATTGCCTTAATTAAGGTTCAAATTAGATTACACTTTATAGTCACATAAAGATGTTATGAAATTGCGTAAATTTCAGACAAAACAAGGTTGCGCCACGACAAAGTCCGGTTCCCAGTGAACCTCAGCACCTAGACTAGCCAAACTGTCCCATTATGCAAGGGTTTGTTTGAAAAGATTGAAGCTTTTTTAAACAGATGTACCATTTTTTTTTTAAATTTGCCATGTTTTTCTGTCAAAGAACCATTTTTACAGAATTCTGCCAGAAATCTGCCCAAAAAATCCATTCTGTCAAATTTTCTGTCAAACTCGTTTTTTAACAAAAAAATGTCAAAGTTAGCCGAAAATCGGCTAAAACGGTCACCATGCTCCTGACGACGGGCAGAGTATACTGTCCGAAACGTTGAGTACCACACATACTGACAAAAGAGGCTTTGCCGTATGGTGCTCAGGCTACCGCAACAACTTACCTTATTGTTACCCTTCACCAATGCAAACCTGCAAATCTCATCACACATCAATATATCAGTGGAAGCTGCATGCAAGCATGGGCGAAAATTCAATGGTGGAGAGGATATAAATTATTCTCAGAGTTGATCG